AGTTAGAAAATCACTGAAAACCACCAGGGAGTACTGGACAGCTGTTTCCTCCGTCCAAGTTTGGCACCCTTAGGCTGTACGCACCCACCGGGATTAGAATCCAGAGCCTCCCAGTTAGCAGGTAAGCTCGTAGACTATTCACCCACTGGGACTCGACTCAATGACCATGAATCATGAATTTCAACTTTTACCAATCCGTGATTCTAGCGCAACCACCACCAGCCAATGTCAATGGCGGGTATTTGTCCTCACTCCCAACCGGATGGACGCTACTGGTCTCGGACTTCTACCAGAACTCCAGGCAACTTCATCCTGCAGCCAGTCAATGGTGAGCATCAAATTAGTTTCCAGCAGCTAGTTTGCAGGGATTTAATTTGTTTGATCACGGATTGAGTACGTGCTGCAGAAGAGTCCCATAGTAGGACGAATCAGCTGTCCAGTACTCCTGCCTGGTTTTTAATACTCCTCTAACTGATATCAATCCGTGATCAAAATTGGGATAATGTCAATCGTTTGAACTATGATATTTGCAATTTAAACTAAGCTATAAGGTAGGTTCACTAGGTTTTCTAAGATTTTGCGTATGCATTGACTCTATTTCTAGGCTATTATGGTCAAGTATTCTGACTACAGGAGATATTGAATCATATGTCACAAAGCCGGTCTTATTGTTTTTCTGAGAAAAATAAAGCCATGCACTATATACACGAGCAGGAGCTCTTTAAATAACTTGGTATGGTTCAAAATGTTCTCTTTCTTATCACATACTGTTGAAACTAATTCCATTGAATGTAGTGATGATCTGACAGTTGTTTCCCAATTAGATTATTCTTCAGTGAACAGTCTTCAATCTACAATTAACTAGTAGTCTGCCTCAAATAGTTATCAACCGAAATCTCTTTAAATATTACTTTCCAGTTTCATTCATGAACAAAACTTAGACTAGCACGAAACATTGGTTCAAGGCTTCCTGCCGATTGCCTCCAACCATCTGATATCAACAATTCACAATGCAGTGTGATGGCGAGCCACCATCTAGCATGGTGGCCACATTTTTTTTCCCTTCACGTTCCCCAGTGGAACATAGGGCTCCAAGCTGTGTCTGCCCTTCTGGTTTAGCGAGGTAAAGGAGTGCGTCAGCCAGGGATCGAACCCCGGACCATGTGCATGGTCGGCGAGCGTCCTAACCGCTATGCCACCGACGCACACATTGCAAACTTGACTGAGTGAATTCAGTCTGCACCACAGACAGGACTAGACACACACATACACACATTACACTAGTTACTGGCTAGTGTCCAATCAAAAAACTTACACAAATAGTTTCAATCCTGTAAATACATTTTTTCCTTCTGTTAGTCATTCCGTGTTGCATCGACTTCAGTATAAGTCTTCCTGTTTGATTTATAACTCAACCTATGCTTTTTCGATTTATGCGTTTCTATATTACATCTGTTCTTATCTACTGTACATCATTATTCTATCCTGAAGTGTTGGAAAAAGAAGACCATGTTATATTACACAGGTCTTCAAGCAGTGTCACTAAGTTACCTGTTATTGACACTTAATTTCATGCAAGAAACTGTTTTTTGTCACACTGCTTAACTACTGACAGTGCCACTAACTGGTAAAGCAGAACACGCGAGAATCAGCGGTAAAACCAGGTTCATTTATTATGACAAAAGTGACTATTTATACAGAAAATAAGTAGACTGGAAATCAACCAGGAGTTGGAATTAGAAACTGGTTACAACCACTTTATATCGGATACTTAACTTCCTCTTTTCAAGAGGAAGACAAGGTAATTCCATACGTCTATATGCTTGAATAAAATCCCAATTATAACTAACTTAGCGTGCAACTTGTGTAAAGGGTTGTGTAACAGAACCTACTCATTATCATCATCATCATAATGTCTAACTTGTCTATATACTTCTAGAAACGCGTAATTTTATCAGTTACAAACATCGACTAGAGTCAGCTTTAAAGCATTTTAAATTATGTTATCTAGAATGACTTTAATTGCACCAGTAGGCAATCCGGTACGGCCAAGGTTGGGTAGACTTCGGTCTTCTTTTCGAAAGGCTGTCAAGTAAGTACGCGTCTATAGCCTCTGACATGTAAGTCCTAATCACTACCCTCACACGGAGGGAGTGTTCCTTACAAAAGTGAAAGGGCGAAACCAAACGTCTGACGCTTGCAACCGGACTAGTAGGCATCCACATCTACATACGATAGCTGGAAAACCCTGATTCCAAACCTATGGCGTACAAATCTATTTTGGTCACTGGAAACCCCGGGAGTATAACTCTTGATGTTGTTCCGCTGTCTTGTGGATGAGACTTAAAATCAATAGTAGGTGGCCCGTTAAGACAACGACCTGCTCTAGCTCCAGGCATCCGAGCGGTATCTCAGACTATGAGATTTTGTGTGATGCATCTCTTGGTGCCCATAATGTACTAAGTTTGTGTTTTAATAAATACAATAAATAGGACAGCCTTAACTATGAAACAGATTTCCGTATACAATTGTATTGTTCGAAGATGAAGCATCAAAGTGAATGCAAACTCACGATATCTAGCGCCCTTAACTGTAAATTTTGGCAGAAGAAATGCTATTACTCAACAACCACTGAGTGCGTCGGTGGCACAGCGGTTAGGACGTTCACCGACCATACATATGGTCCGGGGTTCGAACCCTGGATGACGCACTCCTGAACCTCGCTAAGCCAGTAGTAAGACTGGTAAAGAGGGAGGGTTGGGCGAAAAGGCTAGCAACCTCATCCTGTTAAAATAAACACTGCTACAGAAACTTCAAGCCTCTAGCTTGAAGCCCTATATTCCACTGAGAACGTGAAAGAATAAAAAGAAAACAACTACTGATAATACTATACAGTTGGCAATGAAGTCACACCTATTGTTTGAAGGTTAGTGACACTACCTAGCTGCCCAATTCTCATTAGATGAAGCTGAGTTCGAATCCATGACCTAATGATTGGGAGTCGAACGCCTAGATCAATGAACAGTAACTTATGTGAATTTTAGAATATATTAGAAATCATTTTTTTTAAAATTCACTATTGATTTTCCCGTTGATTGATTGGATCAAAATGTTCGGCCTCTGTTGACATGGCGGCTACTGGTGTCGACGCTTCAAAGATGTCTGAGGATTAACTTGTTGTAATTTGGTGGATAGTGAGTGGTGGTGTCCCTACTGAGGCTCGAACCCAGTACCCATCGTTTCAAACACCATCACCCACCGGGGGGAGTGCAGGTACATCCAGCTGACTAGTCTCAAATAGGACGAAATGTGCATCCTGGATTCCCCTGCTAGTCACCATGCAATTAATTACTATGTGAGAAATCATTATGGTTTTACGAATGAGTGCAGTTAACTTCAACGCATTCCAAACAAAAGTCTTCATCAACGAGCAATGTTAACTGACACAAGATTAACCTGCAGAAGAATTACAGGTGGTGATCAAACTGGAACTTGACATCAATCCATAAAGTCTTCCATTGTTGTTTTGAGCCACTTAGGGAGGTGTAGACTGACTGGTTGGAGTCATTAAGTACTGAGAAGCAATAGTCGAAGACTTTGTAATACGACTCAAAGCCTTTTTGATCGTGCATACATGCTTGCCGTCTTTGTAAGCTCCTAGATCCATAAAGTCTTCATGTAATTATTCTTGAACTGATCGCCTTCTTGTGCAACTAAGTCAGTCAGTCGTGCTACAGTTAACAGATATGCCCATCTATCACAAAGGTGAACTTTAAGCACCGAAGTAAAGCGAACCACCGATCACTTCAAAAAGTACATACATTCATTAAAATAATGAATAAAATATCATGAAGCTGTTACACAGGATACGCTTGTCTGACGTGTCACAAAAATGTCTCCAAGTTTTGTCAATAGAGTGATTAAACCACATTCTATACATGTATTCATCTAAGTCTTCTAATGCTAACACGAAACTATCCCTAAAGTGGTCTTAATCAAACTCGAATCAAGCCTAGCATCCCCCTTATTATGTCAACCTAACCCTAACCTATCGCTTTAGCCTACTAATTAACTAAATCTTTCCCAAACCCTGACCTAAAAGCTTACTAGATATTGTATTCAATACCATAACATAGTATTACTATTTTCAATTATTGGTTTGTAGGGATTTTGTTTGGTTGGTTGGAGGATTTCATTATGAGCTGATATTGGTTAGAGAACCATTGGAAAACCTACAGAGACTACTGGACAGCTATTTCGTCAGCCGTGGCTGGGACTCTTCACCAATACGCACACACCGGGGTTCGAATTCAGGACCTTCTGGTTAAAAGGTTAACAACCTCGTAGACCATTAAGCCACTGGGACCACATCCAATGGCCAAGCCATGAATTCTAACTTCTGCAAATTCACAAGGTAGCGCGACCACTTAGCAATGTCTTAGATGAGTAACTGTCCTCACCTTCAACCTGCTGTACCCTATTGATCACAGCTTCCTACTCAAACCTCAGGTAGCTGACTACCTGAATAGAGCCAGTCACTGGTGAGCATCAGACCAATTTTTCAAGTATTGGTTTGTAGGGATATATATATATACCGACCCATCTTCCTGGCTTTAAGCAAGTAAGTAGAATGAATGACTAACTCTCATAATCTATGACTCATTCATTCATTCATAATGCCTAGTGGATGATGAATATTCTTCAATGTAAGTTAATATGATGAAAGAGTAAAAGTAAATAAATTATACAAATTAGAAATTTTATTTGCATACATATATATATATATATATATTTCTTTTCTTTAACCAACTTCTCCAAAACACGAAAATAAGAAGAATAAAAAATGCGAACAAAACAAAAGAGAAAAAAACTACAAAAATAACTCCTCCGTCCCCCCCCCATCGCTCCATATGAATTAAAAGTAAATAAGAAAAAGAAAGAAAGAAACTCAGTGAGACAATATTTGCTTTTGTTTTCTTTACAAAGGGCAAAGTTCATATATATATATATATATATATATATACTGTACATAGAGAACAGGTGATAATTAATATCCAGTATAACGTGGATACGAGGAATGAGGTATATTCTGTACATGTTGTGATAATTGAGCATTATTGTTATTATTATTATTATTACTACCAGACAATGGGATATTGCCGCCAATACCCCCACCACCACCACCACCAGTCTCAATAACTGTTGAGGCAATCATCATATCAGGTCGCATCAATTGCCCTGATTGTTGTTGGTGTTGTTGGGATGATGAAATGACACGTGAGGCATGCAATCTTGATTGATTATTCATTTGTGAATCAGTCTGTACTGGCATATAGGATAAATGTTGTACATCAGTTTGCATTTGACCTCCTCCTGATGATGAATCATAACCACCAACAGCACCGCCTTGTGCACGTGATGATAACACTGTACTCGACTGATTATGATGGTGATGATGGTGGTGCGGCGGCTGTGCTGCATAGTATTCATTACAGGATTCAATGTCTGTCGTCTGTATTGTTCATCAATACTTGTATCATTCACATTCATTATATTATAGGCATCATCTGATGGAATACGAAATGTATGCTGTTGCGGTTGATTAGACGATGACGACAGTGGATAAGGTGGGGGATTAGGCGGTATCCCCCCTTGTGGAATTTGTTGTAATGGACCTGGAGTAGCAGTAGTACTAGTATTAGTATGACCAATAATTTGATGAGGTGGTTGTTGGTTTGACACTTGATGATGCTGTGATGACTGTTGTATAGACCGAGAAATATTACCACCAACAATTCCACTAGTAGTAGTTATATTATTTCGTCGCATTGAACCAGTAGGCGCTTCAACTAAATGACTATTTGACGGGTTGAATTGACCGCTTAACTGAGATTGATCAAACATATGACTTGAATGTGGCATAGATATTGGATTACTTGGATTAAAACTTGAACCACCGTAGGATTGTCCAAGATGATGTTGCTGCTGCTGATGTTGTTGTTGTTGCTGCTGCTGTTGTTGTTGTTGCAGTTGTTGCTGTTGAGCACGATTACGTAAGAAGCCACTTAAATTTGCCAGATGTTGTTGTTGACCACGTGTAGATGAGGATGACTGTTGTACATGACTTTGTTGTTGTTGATGGTGATGTTGCTGTTGTTGTTGTTGTTGTGACTGTATATCAAGTAAATTCATATTAAAAACATTCTGTTTACCACTCCATTGATGACTTGAATCACCTAATTGTTCTGAATTATTCACATTGTATGCGTATAAATTCACCGACGGATTATTGCCAACAACACGTTCATAGTTTACATTCATTGGACCAGCAGCAGTGGCATGCAAACCACCACGTGTACTGTTTCCACCACCAGCAGCAGTAGAACGTGATGAAGCCAAACTCCCACCGCCACCACGACGACCAGATCCACGTTTACGTTTCGTTGTTGTTGTCGTTGTAGTGGTAATTGTTGTTGTCAGTGGTTGTGGTGGTGGTGGGACATGTATTGCTGTATTACTTATCGGTGGGTGTAAAATAGTGGCGGCATTCGCCGATGGTGGTATCGGAGCGACTGATGGCGGTGGTTGGATGTGTTGTTGTTGCTGTTGAGATGATACTGTCGAAGACTGAGACGGTAGCATTCGTTCATTATACTCCATATTTATCATTTTATTACCTTTATGCATATTCATCTCTAATGGGTGACCATGACCATGACCATGATGCGTAGGAGGATAATTGATTGTGTTCATATGCCCTGGATGACTTATACCGATAGGCCTTTGTTCTAGTTCATTTAAACTAGCATATTCATTCATAAGATTCTGTTGTGACTGATGAAGTTTACGACCTGATGGAAGAGTCGGCTCTGAATTCAGAAGTACCTGTTGTTGTTGTTGATTTGGCAAATGATGAGAATAAAGTTGTTGCTGTTGTTGTTGATGATGATGTTGGTGGAGGTGTGAATTAGACGTCGGCAAACCAGTGCTAGATGTCAACGCTCCTCCTGCTACCGACGACTTAAATGTATTCATCAGCATCTGATTGTTCAACGATAAATTGTCGACTAATTCATTTTTATCATTTCTTGAATTCGTCATTTTTCCATGCATCAATTGGATATTACTCGCAGCACCACCACCCCCACCCCCACCATGAGTAATAGTGTTAGTACACGAAGGCGATGACGATAATGATGACATAATCATCATAGGATTAATGTCAGAATCGATTTGACTAACAGATTTACCTGTATCATTGAACATTGGTAGATTGGTAGAATGACACGGCATAGAAGTATTATGCTTTTGATCGTAGAGAACACCACCGCTAGGGTGATTATTGATACTATTACTGCTACTAATCGCAGTAGCATTACTGTTATTATTACTATTGTTATTAATTGAATTACGAAGTTGCATAAATTGATTTTGACATTCAGACAGATTTGTCTCCGGCATTTGTACAATATCATTCAGTGATAGCATGTGTGACTCTCCACCCATTGAATTGACAGGATTACTGCTATTATTACTGTTATTATTATTATTAAATATATTGTTCATAACAGCATTGTTGTTAGTAGTATTGCTATCGATGCTAAGATTCTCTGTTTTTATTGTTCTCATAATACTTGCATTTTCGTGTTCACCACCAATATCGGATTGTTTGCTGTCGACAACACCAACGGCAGCATTGCTCTTTTCCAACGTCTCTGGATAAATAGGCACCATATAAAAATCACGTGGACGAGATATTTTATAAAAGTGTTCATGACGTATTAAACGATTCGCCTGCTCTTCGACACGTGACAACACCGCTTCTGTGTGCACTGCACCATGCATAGACAAGAGTAATGGCTGTTTACTCGGGTCATAGATCTCCCATGGTGTAAAACGTTCTTTCCCCAGTAACATGTAACCACGTTTTTTATTCTGTTGATTTCGACCACCTGCATGACTGGAATGATGCCCTCCGCCGCCGCCTCCTCCTCCTCCTCCTGTTAACAGACTGTGTCCACTAGACTTGCCACCGGCGCCTTTTGAGTTACTTGACTTGCCGCCACTACCACTTCCACCGGAACCACCGCCTTTACCGCCCATTTTACCGATTGAACCACTGCCTGTACCACCACAACCACCAGCACCACCTAAGGATCCACTACCTGCTGAATTCGATGAACCACCACGGGAAGATTGACGCGACTGTCCAGTGACAAATATTGTATATGCACCTTTAGTCAATAGCAATAATGGACGAATATATTCTATGCCTGAACATGGTGGACGTTCAGATAATTCACGGCGTATCTTTTTAGCCACAGATTGATAGTGTTTACCTTCAATGCCTGAACGTGCTGCCAATGTATGTATTAATATTTGAAGCATATCATAGATCATATAGAATAGGGAACAATTAGACTCAGGCTCTGTAACACCATGACTAATCAATTGAGCCAATAGGGTTGCCCAACGTGTACAAATATCTGGATCGGATTGAATATACTGGAATTTTTGTCCAACTAATATTAAACGATATTTTAAACATTGTTGAACTATTTGACGAGTATGCAAATTGTCTGGTACACGATCAGCGATATCACGTGCATTCAATACAAAATACTCGATTTGTTCATACAGTGAATCAATCAGAAAGTCTGCATCCGGTAAACAGACTTGTAATAATAATAAAAATGTTGGATGTGATAAGAGAATAGAATTTTGTAGCAGTACACTTTCTTTATCTTCATCATTTTTATGCTTCCAAAAATGTTTTATACCTTTCAGTATCTAATAGGGAGAAAGAAAAAGAAAAACAGAATTTTTAGAAAAAATAAATAGACGTATATATATATATATATTATTATTATTATCATACCTTTGGGTTCCGAGTGGAACATAGGGCTTCAACAACACATCTCCACTTTCTCCTATTTTCTGCCATCCTCTTCAGCTGGGTCAAGGATTGTCCCTAACCTCTCATCTCCTTGTCGCCACACGACCTCCTCCATGTCACCCTCGCACTGACGACCCAATCGTCGCTTTTCACTGGGATTCCACTCAAGCGATGGCCTGTATTGCGCGCGATGTTGTTCGACGGCCTCCGTATATCCGATCCATCTCCATTTTCTCATACACATTTGTTGAGCAATCGGCTCTTGCTTATTGGTTCATTCCCAGCCTGAGTTTCTTGTTGCTGATTCTTTCTGGCCGGCGGGCCATTTCATCTTCAATATGGAGCGAAGGCAGCTGTTGATGAAAGTCTGCAACCTGTTGGAAATCCTTTTCATGACACACTGGTCACGTTTCTGACCCGTACAGAAGCACTGACCGACTTGACATTGGTGTTCAAAATCCGAATCTTGTTCTTTACACTGACTGAGTGTAGAAGATTTCCAAACTGGTTTCAAGTTGATGAAGCTGTGTCTTGCCTTTCTGATTGTGGCTGGCTGGTTGGCTGGCCGTGACATCTTCATCTGTTCCACCGGCCTGTGGTAGAAACTATGCTTTCTAACTGGATAAGTGAAGGAAGTAACCTGTGTCAAATCTCTCCCGTTGATAGTGGTTGGTGCTGGTTGTTGTTACCTCATTACCTCCATCTTCTCTGTGTTCACCTGCAGTCCTGTCTTCGCTGGCTGCCTCGCCACTCCAGCCAGTTGGTTTCTTTTCGTCTACCTGTCTGTCTGCCTGCCTACAAGTCTTCGAGTTTGTGTGATATTCAACATAAATCATCCACACGCGAAATCCAGATCTTCTAGAGTCTTATCATCGTTCAGTGTAGCGCATTCCTGTCTTCTCACTCCCCTCGCACAGTATGACACATAGCCCAGTCCACCACAATTGAGAATATCATCACCAGTGATAACAGACAGACATGCAGCCTTGTCTCACTCCTGTATTCACCTCGAACGTCTTTCCGAGTTTTCCCTAGTGGATCACCTGACTAACACGTGGTATTGTCATATAGCCAGCTGTTGAATGAGGTTGATAAAGACCTGAGCACTGCACATCATAGTGTTGAGGCAGTTTCTAAATTACTTCTCGGTCAACGCTGCACTATCAAAGGCTTTTTCTAAGTCCATGAATTTGAGGTATAGGTTTGACTGTCATTCTATGCTTTGTTCTGTGATGATGATGCGTAGAGTTGCAATTTGATCAGCACATCATTTGCTTTTCCTGAATCCAGCTTGTTCCGGCGGGTGGAGTTCTGTATCCAGTGCATCTTTTTATTCTCTCCAGCATTATGAGGCTTAGTGTTTTACTTGTCACGGACAACAGCATTATTCCCCACACTGAAGAAACCACTGAGAGACGTCATCACTCGCCGGGCTCTAGCGACGAACTGGAATGGGAAACGGCAAGTTGTGCGTCGGGTTTGAGAGTAACTTTCAGGTGATTGTGTGTGGAGACAGTTGAAAATGACTGTATAGGAAAAGATGAAATGGGGATGTGATGCTGAAGCCCTATATTCAACTCGGAACACGAAGAATTAAAAAAACAGAGGTGAATAAACTTAAAACCAACGAATTATTATGTTTTATATGTGGAAAACCAAGTTCACTTTTAACAGTTTGAAAAATTTTGGGTGTTGGGTATATGATATGCATTGTTGCATAAGAGTTTTTATATGTCCCAATGAATGAAAAACAAAACGATATCGTTGTTTTTACTGACGTCTAGAGATTTAATACTACTAAGAGCTCACTGGTAGGGTACAGCAGGTCGAAGGTGAAAACAGTTACTCATCGAAGACATTGCTAAGTGGTCACGCTATGTTGTGAATTGGCAGAAGTTAGAATTCATGGGTTGGCCATTGGATGGGGTCCCAGTGGCTTAATGGTCTACGAGGTCGTTAACCTTGTAACCAGGAGGTCCTGGATTCGAACCCCGGTGTGTGCGTATTGGTAAAGAGTCCCAGCCAAGGCTGACGAAATAGCTGTCTAGTACTCCCTGTAGGTTTTCCAATGGTTTTCTAATCGATGTCAGCTCATAGTGAAATCCTCCAACCAATCAAACAATTCCCCACAAACCAACACTTGAATAGCCAAGAGCTTTATCAAACTAGAATTTACAAAATCTTAGCATATATAAAACAATTTAATCATCGTTCATCAGCATGAGGTAATTTTGTTGTTGTTGTCAAGTTGACCAATTGGTACAAGCAACAAAACCATGTGTAGATTGTTGGATTTGATGAGCGCACAAAATTAGCTATGGATTCACCAGTTTCCCAAATAGTAGCTGATCATTTCATGAATAGATTCGAAGATAACATCTTCTCAAACATACTCACTCCTAAAATATGGTTAAGATATGTAGATGATACTTTTGTAGTGCTAAAACGAGATCTACACAGTTCATTCTTGGAGAAAATAAACAATCTATCTCCCAGAATCCAGTTTACTTCAGGAGCAGAATCAGACGTCGGTGAACTACCATTTCTAGACTGCCTGGCTAGTTAAGAGGAGGGAAAACAGACATTTTAGTATATCTATATTCAGGAAGAAAACCCACTCCAACAAATATTTAGACTTCGGATCATCACACCCCATCAGCGCAAAAGTATCAGTTGTTTCAAGTCTTCTTAGACGAGCACACTCTTTGATAACGGATGAGAAAGAAAAAGAAGAAGAAATATCAAACATTACTGAGACTCTCAAGCAAAATAACTACCCAAAGAACTTAATCAACAAAATCAACACTGACATTAGGTATGGTTGAAGACGTATTCCGAAGACATGGGCCTCAACAGTTGTCGTCCCATATGGAGCAGAGACGTCAGAAGACTACTCAATAAGCTGGACATTAGTTTTCTTGAAAACATCATACACGCTGCAAAGCAACCTTGTCCATGTAAAAGACCAAATCCCTAAAGATTCTCTATCTAATTGTGTCTATAAAATAAAATGCTTGGAATGTGATGCGATATACATCGGACAAACATCGCCAGAGAGAAATCAAAATCAGAAGAAATGAACACCGTAGAGCATCTGTTCGACCAGCGAGAAATCCAGTTGAACTAGAAAAGCTTGAAAAATCATCAGCCATAGATCTACACGCCATAGAATCAGGCCACAAAATTGATTTTGACAATATTGAAATAATGCAGAAAAAGCATCTCAGAAATCACAAAGAACGTCTAATACCAGAAGCACTTCATATCAAGTGGAATCCAAACTGTCTGAATAGGAATGATGGACTGAAACAGAATTTGACCTGGTTACAAAAGCCCCCCTCCCCATGAAATGACAAAATCGACGCGAATGTCATAAGCAATTTCATAACATATCCTGTTTTTAGAATTTTATATGCTTATGAAATCCAGCAATCTACATATGGTTTCGTTATCTTTACCAATTGACCCACTTGACAACAACATAAAAATTACCTCGTACTGAAGAACGTGATTAAGTATATATATATATATATATATATATATATATATATATATGAGCTGAGATTTTGTAAATTCCGGTTTAATATTACTACTTTGATAAAGCTATTAGCATTAAATAGCGAAACGTTGGTAACAACAACGATATCGCTTTGTTTTTCAATTATTGGTAAATACAAAAACTTATAATCATAGATGTACAGAAATCAACAAATGATGATGTATTATTTGAAAGCATAATGAAGAATGTAATACTAAAGTTGAGTAATTACGGAGATAAACACTAACGCATATCTGTGTATTGGTGTGTACAGGGATTTAATCTGTCTCAGTTTTGATCACGAATCGACTTCAGTTATGGGATCAATTATAACCAGCTAGGACTCTTCAGGAGTACACACCTATGATCCCACGAGGTTTAGGGAACCACGACCTCCAGGTTACGGGGTGAGTTTGTTGACCATTCATTCAACCACTGGGATAAGTTCTAATAACCCTTTAATTCCAACTTCCGCTAATTCGTCATATATATAGCCAGTATCATCGGTAAGCATCCAACCTCACACCCAACTTGATGGGCGTGGTAACCGAAATATGGATCTCTCCTATTACGACTATCTCATCACAAAGTAATGCCGTTTATATGGTAATGGCTTGTACTGGAATACAGGGTACACTGCATACTAGTGAGCTATTCCAACAATGTTGAGTACAAGATTTTAACCACAACAAGAAGTAATCTGGTAAATGTTAGCACTCCTGACTGACAAATCAAGGGTGGGATTAAAATAACCACTCTTCACACATCATCATCAGTCAACGTCGGTGGCACAGTGGTTAGGACTCTCGCCGACCATGCACATGGTCCGGGGTTCTATCCTCTGCCGACGCATACCCGATATCTATGGTCGGCCTGCAAAATTTGGGCCACCGGTATCCATGCTGAAAATTCCATACTTGTACTGAAAATACGGCGTGGCATCAAGCTGTAGCCAAAAATATAAAAAAAGTAAAATAAAATATAACAACAAAAAAACCAACAGGAACCACCATCAAGCAAAACAATATCAAAATATTTGTAATGACACACGCTCGACTACTCCTTTCCCATTCGAGTTACACTCCAGGGGCTAGCTGTCGTACGATGTCATTCAGTGGCCTCCTCAGAGTGTGTTCAATCCATTTCCAATTTCCTCAGCGATAGGTCCTTATCGGTTCGTTTCCAGAATTCCTTGTTGTTTATCCCTTCTGGTCCGTTATCTGATCTTCAATATCTGACGAAGGCAGCTGTTGATAATAGTCTGCAGCAGCCCATTGGAAGTGCTTTTAGTGATGCTCCAAGCCTCTGAACCATGTAGAAGAGCTGACTGACTCGATATTAGTGTTGAAAATTTGA